ACGCCGGATCCAGTCTGACTGAAAGAAGTAGATTTGGATCTCTGCCTTAATGTCTCAGCCGATCCAAAAAGTGACGCTTCAAGCTGATCGTCTCCAAGTTTACAGAGAAACGGAGACCAGACTTTCCAGCTGGACCTAAACATCTGAGCCTGAAAAACAAAATGTGAAGTTTTTCATTTTTACTTTGTATGATTAGAGACTGAAAAGGATTTGATGTGTGAGATGGAAGCTTTGCCTCAATATTTAAAGCAGGATTTTTCCCTTCAGGTGTCCAAAACTTAGCAGAAGCCTCCAGACACCAAACCGTCCGTTACTGCGCTGCACAGGAAAACATTCCCATATTTCATGGGCCCACTTTTTTGAAGCTATTTTTGTTGGTGTTGTGGGAGAGCAGTGGAGCTGCCTGTTCTCCTCAATTTAAACTCCATAACAGGAGATTAGAAGGAATTACAGACAAGGGTTCATGGAGACCAAGTCAAATCATTTCAAAACATCCTGAACAATTTAACTGGGAAAAAAAAGGTTTATAGAAGCACTTTTTATTTAAAGATCTTCCTGTCAGCATCCCACCTTCTGAATGGGAAAATGTAGCCAGAGTTCTCCAAATCGATCAGACTGCTGCTCCTGCAAGCAGCTCCTTAGCGAGCAACAGATTCAGTCGTCCCAAGTTTAATTAATGGTTCTATGGTACAGAAACGATGCTCTGAAGATCCTCCCTGAAATCTCTACAAATTGTTTTCAAAGTACAGATTGAAAGGTCGCCACTGGTAGGAGCTTTTTTTTTTTCCCCAAATGTATTTTTCAGTTAAAATGTTCAGCATAAAATTCACATTTAGGTGGAAAATAGTTTTGGATATATCTTAATATCACAAAAACAGGCATTTTAGGTCTGTTTACATTTTTGATAGCCACTGTAGCTTAAAAATGTTTTTATTGCTGTAGCAAAAAGAACCGCTGAGCTTGGGCACAACTTGGAGGCATGTGTGTCATCCTCATTAACTACTATTAAAGAGGTAGTTGCTTCAAAAAACATGTCTTATGGTCTCCAAAGAATCAATACTACCAGACACAGGTGCAATTTGGAGGTGTGCGTCTTTTTTATTTTTACTCCTCCTGTACAGTGAAATCTTAAGTAGCTTGTTTAAATGTGCCCTTACTTTAGCTAAATGAAATGTTAGGTTGACATGTCCTCTAAATTGTTCATAGATGTAAAAATGTCCTTTTCATTTGTAATAAAAGGTTTTTTTAAAGAATCGGAGCATTGAGAAGAAATCAGCACACAATAACTCCATGAAAGTGTATTTGTAACAGCCCTCCGCTTTATTGAAATACATCGGAGTCGGGTTAATATGAGTCTCCACATCAGCGTGGCAGCCAGTTCCATACATTATTTTTGACCTTACACCTTAAATATTTTTGTGCAAAAAGGAATCTACATCATCTGTAGTGGGTTATCCTCAGTAAAACACCCAAACCATCCAGAGAGGAGCAAGTAAAACAACAAACCAAAAGCAAAATGATTACATCTAGAACATGCAAAACTGTACAAATTATTACAAAGAAATCCTAGAAAAAAAACAAGTGTGTAATATGATATGAAAGAGCAAAAATAATATACTGTAGATAAGACCTCACTGAAATGTAAAGGCGTTTGATTTCTTTTAGACTTTCCTCCACAGCAAACTGGCATCGCCGTCATCGGATCACCTGCCGCCAATCAACACACCTGGACTCCTTTGCCATCCGTCCGGCCACATCTAAAGAAGTCACTGATTCCGACATTTCCTGAGATTTCCTTCCTTGCTCCAGAACATCTGGGATCAGCCGTTTTGTTTTTAAACTATATTTAAACAGCCCAACAAAGTTTGCTTCCTCTCTTTTCAACCAGACAAGGTCCAGAGACGACAGAGAGTTGAAAAGGGTTCCGATCGTTAAAACGAAACAAGCTTTGAGCTTCAAATCACAACAGAAAGTTAAAAAAAAATAATAAAACACTTGGAATGGGGGCATAGAGGGTCAGTTTGTTGTGTTCTAACAGGGAAAGCAGCAGGAATGACCACAGAAGCACTTAATGTTTGTTTCCCTTATATGGAGCTGATCCTGATGGGCTTTAACTTGGATTAACTTAACATGGTTGCAGAGAAAGACCAAAATCTGCAGATAAAACTTTCGTCACATCCAAACCAGGCATGGGCCAGTCAAAGGTATAAAAAAAATGGTTTAAAACTACAAAATATATACACCTTTAAAGAAAAGCCTGTAAAAGTGCCAAAACTGATTACAACAGGGAAACACTGCCACCCTGTGGACACTAAAGGAATACCAGCGTATAAAGATCCAAGCCACAGTCCTAAAAAGTACATCTACAGATAGAAAAACATTATTTCACAGCTGCGGGAACCAGGTATAGAGTTACAGTATGAATGAAAATTATTTATTACCTCTTTAAAAATAAGCAACAAGGCAAACCTTCTTACTTTGGCCAATTTACAGTAAATCTGGGAGAATGAGGCAATGTTCTTTAGTGCCTCTGTTATTAAACTGCTGTGTGTTGCATTATTTATGGGCCCGTGCGGTCCCAGCCGGGTTCTAAATTGGGATAATGGTGGGTAGCGGGTCTTGGTTCTGAAATCTATGGGTGCGGGCAGATAGTTTTAAAAATCCAACCCGAGCAGGACTCTGATCCAGTCTACCTGTGCTAACAGCCTGACTACCCGGAACATGTTAGCTTGTTTTATTCCTCTAACAGCAGAATTACAAAATAGGGATACGATTGTGTGCAATGTGGATCTTTATTGTCTAAAAAAATTGCAGATGTTAATTTATCCAAAAGAGTTTCAGCAGGAGGAAAAATATTCTCAGGTTTAAATAAAAACAAACTGTGTTAGACTGTATTTTGGCCCATGCCCAGTCTGTTGCTGCTCCATTAATAGTTGTTCCCATGTGGTTTGAAATGAACAGTTCCAGTAAAACAGTTTTAGGAAATACAGATAAATAAAAGAAAAGAAAAAACAAGCAGACAGAGAGTTTAGAGCTGTGATCCTGTTAGCTAACCGACACCTGGCGGCGCTCGGCCCATTCATCCATACAACCAGAAACCCAAGTGCTGACAATCCTGCAGGCTTTAAGTGTTTACATTCTTTTTTTAGTGTGTTTTTTTTCATCCATAGCTTCTTAATGAACATATCAGCACATTCTGAACAAGCGAAGGCTGTGACAAAGAAAGCACGTCAACAAGTGTCCCTCTTGTCCGTTTTTTTTGGTTAAATAGAGCTTATCCGTCAGTAGAGGGACCCCGACCCGTTCCATCCTGGTACCGCAGACTATCTGAAGACCAGAGGAGGCGCAGGAACGAGGCGCCTGCTGCATAAAAACGCCTCCTCAGTGTAGGAGACACACGTGATAGCAGGTTGGTGAGAAACACACGTTTGCACTAGACTAATTAGAGCAGTAGTGTCGGTCTGTGAAGAGCTGCTTCACTCCATGCAAACCAATAGGGGGAAAAAAATAAAACAAGCCAAACACGTGTCGTATGTAACTGTAAAACAAACTTGTAAAACAAACTTGTAAAACTAACTGATTTAAAAAGGAAAAAAAACACAAAGTGGTTTTAAAAAATGGCTTTTTTGTGAGAATATAAACTCAAATCACTCAAAAACAGAAAACCAAAATCAGGATTTCTTCGCTCTCTCCCCTGTAGTTCTCTATAGTATTTTCCTTATCATATATTACTCTCTACTTTGAACCTATATACATCATGGCGATGGGAGTCAGTGAGTTGGTCAGTTTGGTTGCACAGCAAAGTGGAACGTCTACGCTACGGCGGAGGAGGCCTTCCTGGACGAACCCATGAGGAAGAGAAGAGCACAGTAGGAGTTTTGATGTCATGAGAGCGTTTCTTTTGTTTTTTTGCTAATGCTCAAAATGATAATTATTAAGAAAAATATATAAAGTCACTGCACTTATAATTAGAGGAAACTAAAACTTATTCCTTTTCTTTCTCACATTTCTTTTTTTCTTTAAATCTGCACCCGAAAAGAAAAAAAAAAAGACGACGGAGGGAAATGTTTGCTTCCCATCACGCCGAGGCAAACCTATCCCCTCCTGTCTAAGATCGATAAATAAATTAAAACTGTCCCCTGAAACCCAGCTGGTCCTATGTACAGGTACAAATCATTTCCTCATGAGTAATCCGCTTCCTTTTTCCTTTGCATCGTAAAGTTTTGCGTCTCTATGTGAATCTGTATGGGGAGGGGGGGGAGGTTGATCTGCACAGAGCAAAGCTGATCCCTCATAAAGTCATCCGCACCATCGAGCATCAGCACCACCTTATTAGAGGCCCTCAGACGTCGGGGTTCCGTCCAATCAGGAGGGAGCGGCGGATGGGACGTGCAGTTCTCTGGGCAGTGGAGGGGAGGGTGGGTGCGTGTGTGGGTGGGGGGAGGGTAAGGAGTCCTGTGCTGGATGGGTAAAAAGTTAAAGAGGGTGGGGGGGTGGGAGGACTCATGTGTCCCAGCAACTCCTTTCTGTGCTCTCCAGGGACAGGGACTTGGTCTTGTGTGGGGATGCCGGACTGGGAGGGCCGCTGAAGGTGGAGCTGTTGGAGGCGGTGGAGTGGCGGGGCGAGTCCGAGTCCTGGAGGAGAGAGATGGAGCGAGTGAAAAACAGGAAGGCTAACACGCAGATTAAGTTCCTGTCACTGAAATGAGAGCAGAGGAGGTGCCTCTGATACAGTGCCTTGTAAAGTATTCACACCCCCTGGAACACTCCCGTTTTACGACTCGATACGACGGTGAGAAGAAAGGGGAAGGTTCACCATACTCTGTTCTCTGGGGTTTCCCTTAGTTCTTCTCACCTATTCTAAAGCCCCTTAACTAAGGAAACACCAAGAAGGTGCTCTGATTAGTTGGAAAATAACACTGCTCATCGCCATGGAAACACAGCGACGGCAGCATGGAATAAAATACTGAAGAATCCTGGAACAAAACCTGTTCAGGATTTCAAACCGGGGCAGAGCTTCACCCCTAACATTCAGCTCCATCTACAGGGGACTGCTTTAGTCCAAGCATGCAGGTGGTGGAATGGCCTAGTCAAAGTCTGATCTCTGAATTTAAATGAAAAAATGAACCCAGAAGCTCTGAAACTACAAAGTATTTACTGAGGGGGTTGAAAACAGTGATTCCCAAGGCACTGTACTGTTTCTACTTCACAGCGTTCATTGATCTGCAGACGGTGCAGCACAGCGAGCGCACCGGCAAATCAACAGCTCAACCGACCCCACATGGATCAGCTGAGGACAAACAAACATGCAGGCTGGGCCGACGTGGGAGAACCGGACGGTTTCATTTCACACCCAAACGCATCACGCACAGTCCCACCAGGAGCAGCTCTGCCTCTGCAGACTGTGAGTGCTGCGTTCTGTGATTCTCTCTCCAGTCCTAGAGTTAGCGTGTGCTGGTCATCGCTTTGGGTCAGTGATGCTGCAGACTGTGATCCCTCTGCTTAGGTCTGGTTTAATCGTGAAAAAAAATCTGTGATGACAAAACAGCGCGGTGCTCTCGAGTATCTGGAGAGAAAAAGCTCCAACAGCTGGACTTCACACTTTTTAATGTGCACCAACAAAACGTGCAGAGTTGACGTAAATCATGCAGCCTCACTTCCAACCGGCCCGGTACACACTTACTTCCATCCGATTCACACTGGATCAGTCAGTAAAACACTTGGCAGATAATGATGGAGGCTGAGTTAAAAACATGAGTGGGCCAACAGGGGGCAGCATGGAGGCAGGCATGCGCCGTGATTCAGCAATGAGAGGCGGCATCGCACCGAAGATCACAGCCTGGTGACTCAGAGTGACTGATGCAGCTGATGACAAACATCAGCCGCAGCTGAGGAGGCGGGTCTGAGACGGTGCAGAGAGAGAAGAGGGCGGGGAGGCGGCATGTTCCCAGTGAAGTCACACGCGTGTGTCTGTGTGTGTGATCTGCGTGTTCAGCGGCACGGTGCTCTCTCTCACATTGGTGTGTTTGGTGCGGTCGTGGCAGCATTACCTTCATCTTACTAAGCAGGGTCCTTAAAGCCCTTTTCAGATCGGGGGTCTTCTCCGATGGCGAGACCGCCTGCCACTGCAGAGGGAGAGTTCACACTCAGCACCCAGACAACATGCTGGGGTTGGCAGGGAGGGGAGGGGGGCAGGCATGGTACGGGGGGAGTAGGGGCTGGGCGAGAAATGTGGCGGAATGGAGACGGAAAGCATCGGGGGGGGGAGCAGCTATCCAGCCTCGTGGTGAACGCTGGCTGTTCTGACTGACTGAGGCTCTCAGTTAGCTTCTGGAAGCTAACCGCTAACGCCAGAGAGCCGGGATGCACAGGGAGGCGATGACTGATGGGAACAGGTGAGGGTTTGATCTATTTCAGGTGAGGGAAGCTCTAAAATCCAATACAGCCACATGGCGGGAGGGGGGGCATGGCCTCCATCTACACCTTTAAGCTTTTTCACATTTGTCACAGACTTCAGTGTCGTTTAATGGGATTTTATTGAAACAAATAAAGATTTGTGATGATCATAAACTCCGCTTTGTGTTGATCTGATTTATAAAATCCCAAAGTCAGACACTGGAGTTGGTGGACGGGAGGTTTACGACGAGCTGATGGATGCGATGCTGGTTGAAGGTGTGTAACTAAGGCCGACTACACAGCAGCCCAGTCAGATGCATCTGGACTAGGCTTGGATTTTCTGTTTGGATGGGTTAGATTGAGCAAACTGTCTATGGAGGAGCTAAACTGACACGAATAAGAATAAACGCAGGAATAAATGAACGCTCAGTAAGCAGGATTAATCAGTTATTTAATCATTTAGAGTATTCATTCAGGCCAGATGCCCCGCTATGTTCATTGGGCAGAGATAACGGGACTCATGACTCTATTAAACCAACACAGAGTTGCTGTCTTCATTCACTCAGACGGCTAATTGTTAGCTCTCCAACTCTCCCTCCTCCATAACAAAGAGCGCTCTTTAAGACGCTCCCTGAGGTTCTCAGCAGGAACCAACAAAAGCGGCGGCTCCCATGGTTCTGGCTGAGAAACTTTATTTCAAAATGAAAAAAAAATCTATAAGAGAGGCGGGAAATAGAGTCTACAGTAGCAATGCAGTGATATCTAACCAACCAATAGGTGGAGGTTGAAGACTGATGACACCGCCAACTCATTGCATAATTACTCAGAAATAAATGAATGAATAAATAAGGAAATGATTAAATAAAGAATCTAATTAATTATACAGAAGAGGATTAGGGCCACTGAAAAAACAGATTTTTAAATATTATTTCAGTTAAATATGGGGAAAAAGTCAGAATTCTGACTTTAATCTCAGAATTGCGACTGAATCCTGGCAGCTAACAAACATGTTAGCATCAAGCCATAGCCATGTCTGTTTTAGAAACTAAACTAGCTCTCTTGTTTTAATCACCTTCTGCTCTTCCATTTATGAAATAGCATCACGAGGACCCATCAGGCACGTAAATAGTTGCCTAATTCTGTAATTTTTCACCAAATTGTCACTGGCCCTCCCTTACAACTCACATCTTTGTCAGTGAAGCTGAGTGCCTGTCTAAGATCCAAAATTCTGAGATTAAAGTCAGAATTCTGAGATTAAAGTCAGAATTCCAGTTATAATTCTGAGATTAAAGTCAGAATTCTGAGATTAAAGTCAGAATTCTGAGATTAAAGTCAGAATTCTGAGATTACATTTTTTCCCACATTAAACTGAAATAAATAAAAACCAGTTCACTTTTTTTTTATTTTTTCAGTAGCCCTAATCCTCTCCCATCTAATCATGCCTATGGGGCATTCATTAATCTCTGTATTTATTCTCTATCGTCGGTTCTGCTCCTCCAAACAGATTGATGTTTCAATAGACCAGAACTTGAATGGGACGGTCGTTGCTTACTGACCTCTCTGTCGAACTGGGAGAGCGGAGCGTCGCCGCAGTCCATCCCTCCCCCGGAGGACAGGGAGCTCTCGGAGGGGGAGGTCATGGTCTGGCGTTTGGATCCGTAGCTTCCTCCTGACAGCTCCCTGCGCAGAGCGCTGCCGTTCTGAGACGACGACCCTGGACCGAGAGCAGACGCCACATCAGTTCACAGACGGGAAACGAACACCGTTCTGATGGCGGAAAGCAGCGGTTCTGATACTCACGTATACCCAGCCCGCTGCTGGCGCTCATGGAGCGGCCCGGCTCACCCCGGTTCTTTGTGATGGAGGGGATGCTGACGGAGCCGCTGAATCCCGCCCGGCTCTCCTGAACACGGACGTTCTGGTTTGGAAACAGCGAAGCATTGAGGGGGAGAGGAGTGAGGTGAGTGCACAGCTTCAAGCTCAGCATGCTAACAAACGTGGAACAGGTGGATCCAACCAAACTACAGCAGGATGGAGGACGGTGTGGAAGCAGAACATCTACACGCTACGCTCAGCGTCGCTCCACATACCATGGGGAGGTCCTTCAGGATCTGGATCCCGTCTCCTGGTCCCATGTGGGCCACGTGGTTGAAGTTGGTGGGGTTGGAGATCAGCTTGTTCCTCATCTCTGGATCTCGCAGCATCTCTCTGTAACGGTGAGGACATAGAAGACGGTAACTTCTAGAAAGTGAAGTAAAGGATGAGAGCGAGGCGGGACAGGAGCACTACCTCCTCTGCTGGAGGCGCTCCTCCTCCGGGATCCGGAAAGAGAAGCGCCTCTTGTTGTTCATGCTGCGCACCATCTGCTTCCTGCTGTTGTCCGACGTCTCCGGGACAACCAGCTCATCGCCCTCTGAAACATCAGACGTTTATTTTCAGTGCTGGGACATTATGTAACGGTTTGAGACATTTTGGAAGTTTTTTTCGTCTTACCGGCCATCTTGTTTCTAAAGTAGATGAGGCGAACCGTTTCCAGCCCTAGCAGGTTCAAAGATCCGTCAACATTCAGAGGTCGCACCTGCAGATGAAGAGGAGGAAGAAGAGACACAGGCTGAGGCGGTGAGGAGGAGTTTTTCTCTCCAACAGATGGAGCCAGAGAGCCGGGACAGAACCGACCTTCTTCAGAGGAATGGTCTGGATCCACTCCATGGTGTTCACATCAAACACGTCCACGGCGTTCTCGCTGTACACCGACAGGTAGGGCGCGTTGTAGCCTGGACAGAAGAAGACGGTCAGACTTTCGGTCCCGCCATGTGCGGCCGGACTCACTCTGAGTGGGTAAAGGCGGCGGCACTCACAGGCGGCGCTGGGAGGAGCGGGCCACATCAGCTCCTGCTGGCGGGATCTGCGTCCCTGCGAGTCCACGTACACCCCGATGGAGCTGAAGCACAGCAGCAGCTCTTTGCTGGAGATCTCCACGGCGCACAGGGCGCTCAGGCCCTGCTGCGGGATGAAGGCCAGGGTGTGGTCCTCTGGGTGCAGCAGGCTGACCGGGGACATGTCCCCATGGACGCTGTGGAGGACATGAGAAGCAGCTGATCATGGGGTGGGCTCCAGCAGCTTTCTGATGGTTACCTTCAGGCTAAATACCTGTAGCGTATGAAGCCGGACTGATAGCCCACATAGAGACGCTCGCTGAGCAGGCCCATCCACTGGACGGGCCCCGGGGCCTGCAGCTCCCTCAGCACACGGTGACGGGACTTCCCTTTATTCACCTGCAGGACAGAACATCAAAGTTTCCCTTTCAGCTCCGCCTGAGCTCAGAAGAAGAGGCGATCCAGCGTGTCGGGTTCCCCTCACCTCGTAGCAGATGATCTTACTCTTCATGGCCACGCAGAGGCAGGTGAGGGCGCCGTTCCGCACCGGGCCCGACACCACGCTCTGACAGTTCTTCGTCTCGGCCAGCTTGTTGGACTCTGTCTCGCGGCCGTCCAGCGCCTGCGTGGGGAAGAGACGGACGTGGCGGTTGCGGCCCGAGATGACGGCCAGCAGCTGCTCCTGGGGGATCAGGTCGATCTGGTAGACCTTCTTGTTGTCGCCCACACGGATTATCTCTGAAAACAAAACAGAAAGAAGAGTTTTACCCCCCGACATCTCACAGCCAAACGAAGCAGAACAACAGGTTAGCTCCAGATTACCATCTTTGGTGACATGGATGACAAACAGGCCCTCCTCGTTGCCAAGGGCGACGCGCTCATGATCTAAAGGGGAGAGATGAAATGGAAACAGACGACCAGGACGGTGAAAATCAGACAGGAATCCTTCTGGAAGCAGAGGTCATAAAGAGCGAGGGCCCACCGATGATGGCGGCGGACTGCGTGGTCTTGATGAGCGGCAGCGTGCAGTCGTACGCCTCCTTGGGGACGTAGACGAAGCGCTCCTTCAGCTTGTTCTTCTTGAGGATGCGGTGCAGCTCGTTGAGCAGACACACCCACTTGTTCCTCTCCTGGTCGCTGTCGGCCAGGATCAGGATGGACGCCTTGTGGCTGCTGGAGGGGGACAGCTGGGACGCCGTCACCTGCAGGGAGAGGAGGTCAGAGGTCAGAGGAAGCAATCATTAAACGTGATTTTATAAGAGGGAGGGGCTCACCCTGAATATACAGGGTATGTCCTTGCGGCTGGCGTGGATAACGTCCGACTCCAGAACAGAGCTGACTGAGAACTCCTCGTCTCTGTGGGACAGAAAGGAGCAATAAGCACCTGGTTTCCATCCCTGCTGCTCCGACGCTGCTGCGTCCCTCTGCTCACCTCATGTCCAGGACCTGACTGACCACCACGCTGGGCTGGGTGGCCTTCCCTTCTCCCAGTTCATACAGGAACAGTTTGAAGTCACAAACCACGGCCATGGCTCTCTGCCAGCCCTTCTTCACCCCGGTAGGCTTAGGAACCTAAAGAACAACCAGACACTTCAGCCGCTTGTTCAGAACATAAACGTGTTCTGAGCTTCTCTGTCAGGGTCGCTCACCCTAACGTAACCCTCGTAGGCGGTACCGATACCCCTCTGAGGGTCGATACCCAGCGGCCCCTTGGTCTGATCCTGGGGTACGGGACACACAGCTGGAGCTTTGTCCGCACACGTGACGTGGCAGGAAAAGTTACACACTGAACACAAACACATCATCAGGAAACACAGAATCCACAGCGTAGATCTCAGACATGTCGGTGGCGTTTCCGTTCTCCTTACCCTCACATGTGCAGCCCTGGCGGATTAGCCCCACCATGAGGGAGGTGCACTGGTTGCACTTTGTAGGCGTGTTGAAAGACTTGACAACAAACTGATGCGCTTTGGGCTGCAGTGGGATGAGGAGAAGCGAGAGGAGGCGTTCATCAACATGCCAGAAAACAGAGAAGTCTTTCCTAAAGAGTAAAAAGGGTCTAACCTTCGGCGAGGAGCCCCCGATGCTGCCGTATCCTCCTGAACGCATGGTGGGGGTCTGAACCGTCCGGCCTGGGTGGTCTATCAGCTGAAAACGGAGCAGAAAACTTTAACCATTGTTGCTCTAAGTGCTGCAGGATTCTCCTCCGTAACTAAATTAGCTGTAACTCATGCTGGATGACTGAGCCGCAGACGCCATCTGAATGTTTAGAAGCTTTCTGCTTTTCCACAACAACATGCCAAACATTCCTGTCCAACTTCCAGCTAGATTAGATAAAGAGAAAAACATGAGCAGCTTGGCGGAGAGCTTCCTCACCTCTATGGGCTCCATGTCGCTCGCCATGGACGGCGAACGGGAATGGCTCTTCAGGAGGGACTTGGGGTCATCTTCCCGAGATGGAGTGTTGGAGGGAGTGAAGTTATCTATGGAGTCAACCTGAGGAGAGCAGGATGGAGGAAAAGATGAAAGGAACGAAACAGACGGGTAGAACCATGCAGCAGCCATGCTTACAGAGAAAGAACAGCAGACAGGAAAACCACTCCGTTAAACCCCTTCAGACAGAAACAACCAGCACATGTTCCGGAACATCGCTGCACGCCCGGCCCTAACGGCTGCACCACTGAAAACACACTGAACCATGCAACCATCCAAGGAGCCCCGATAACAAAAAAAACACACATTCAAACAAGCCAGAGCCTCCCCTAAAGTATTCACACCCCTTCAACGTTTCCACCTTTCAGGCGGTTGCCTCCACAAACATCACGTCTTTGAGTGCACCGCTGTAAAACGGAAGGAAAACTGCTGACATTTTTCTCCAGCTTCAATATTTCCAGCTTTAAGGGTCATTTTCTGGGCTCATCTATCTATATCATTATCTATGAGCGACTTTCCTCTCCTTACTGAGAAACTAGCATGTAGTTTATATTCAGAGGTATCTGAAAACAGATGCAAGCCACACTTTTCAGATTTCTCTTCATTCAGCTCTATTGGCTTTCCTTCCACTTTACAGCTCCGAGCCGCTTCCTGCTGTTCCGCATGTGATGAAATGTGGAAAAGCTGAAGGGGTGCGGAAGACGCAGAGAGGCGGTTCGTCTCTCTGCCATGCAGACAGCGGATAAATAAATCATCAGGCTGAGGAGAAAAAAAAAACGTGACGGCTCGTTTAAAGAGGAGATGCAGGACTGCAGTGATGGTGCTTACACGTCTGCTTTTAGGCGGGCCGACGGACGGCGAGCGCTTCGGTGGCAGGAAGAGAGGGACAGAGACACACATGAGTGAATAATACAGATCTGAGAACACATTTAAACAGACTGAGTGTGTGTGGGGGGGTTAACGAGACCAGGCAGGGCCCCCCAAAGCCTGATGGACTTCTATCTCACTTCTAACGCTCCAAACCGGAGCTTCCAGACTATTTACAGCTGATTTATTTAATCTTTCATTTAACTTTGGGGAAGCACTGCCTTGGACTATAGTTTCTACATAAGGAGGGCACTGATGGGAAAAACACACGTAGTTACTGGGAAGAAGGAGCCAGGGAAGGTTCTAGCAAACAAAACAATCAGAATCTAAAGACGAGAAAAAAACTACAGGGGTGTTTTATTCATGATTTATCTAAAACATGTTATCACTGTCCTATAAGGTAGATTTATAAAGCATGTAGATCCATCCACCCATGGTCAGACTTACATCTTCCCAAAACTCAATTAAAGAAGAAGAAGAAGATGAATAAGAATCCTGATGTACCAGAGTGATGCAACCAAAGAAACACAAATAAATAAATTATAGAAAATTTCATTTGAATGATCCAGAAAGAGGTGGTGAACGGGACATGATGACCTTTATTCAAACCTCCTGTTGGGACATTTGGAGGAGAAAATACTAAACTTACATCGAACTGGTCGAGGGCCGAGGTGGGCGCGTTGAGAAAAGCCAAGAAGGAATTCTGGGAATCCTGGTGCTTGACACCTATAGAGCCAGAGCAAATAGAATCACAGCATCAAAGGCCGGCTGGACAAAACGGGTCACAGGACTGTTTCTAGGGGCTTACTGCAGGCTTCATATGACTCGGCTAACAATACATTGTTGTGTGGCGAGCACAAGACTCTGCTTCTCCCATATAGCAGCAAAGCCCCTCTGATTGTGACTAAATCCTCTTTCAATCAGCTAATCTCTGAAGAAACGCAGGATCCGTGAATGCATCACTTTTTAAATGTATGCTAAAGAGACTGTACCCCTTCGCAGCCGCAGCTCCTCCGTCTCCTTCCTCAGCCGCTCGATCTCAGCCAGCAGATCCTGGTTTTTACTCTCCACCTCCTTCAGTTTACTGGATCAACGACAGAGATGCATCACATTGCTGAGCAGGAGCAGCTTAGAGTAGCAGTAAACTTCCAGAAGGCCTACCATTCAGTGGAGATGCTGTCGGCCTTGACCTTGTTCAGCTCGTCCTGAATGCTCTGCTTGGCTTTGATCTCTGTGTCCAGCGCCGACTGCAGCTCCAGGCGCGCCGACATGTCCAGCTTGGCGAAGCGACGCATCTTCCATGGCATGTCCTGAGACAGAAAGAGAGCAAAAAATATGTCGCTGTTCATGTCGCTTTCTCAGCTGACTCGAAGATCAGACAATTTACATTAATCGTTATTATTTCTCTGGCTGTGTATACCCACAGGTTTATTTGGTGGAGGGTTTGGTTTCCATTTATGTTTAGGTGAATTTAGTTGGTTTGAAAATTGATGCTTGGTTTGGTTGACTGGTCTCCTTTATGTATATTTGGTTGATTCATTTATTGTTCTTCGTCAAAAAATTGTATGAAATAAATTCCTATTCATTCATTCATGCCTTCATAAAGTACAATTTAGATTTTTTTTTTTTCCAGATGAAAACAAATGTGAAGTGGGGCAAACTGTGAACAAAGACTTCTGCTTTCTGTGCGTCATTTCTAATTAAGCTGCTATTTTTTGGGTCTGTTCTTGATGCTCGTTTTACTGTCAGTCCACATAAATTGACTTTAATGGGTTTTAGTTTCATCTCTCGTAAAATTAAGTCAGAACTGATGCATCATGAAGGTTTTAGAAACCATTGCCAGGTTGTGTTAGACCAGCTTTGACAGAAAGAAGTGTGTCTTTGGGTACGTTCACACCGCAGCCTGAAGTGACCCAAATCAGATTTCTTTGCCCATATGCGACCTGGACCTGATCTTTTCATGAGAGTCTGAACAACACAGATCCCATTTTTTCCAATGCCACCCAGGCAGCTTGGCTATGTGGTTCAAATGCGACCTGTGTCTGAACAGCCAGGTCGCATTCATCTGACCCGAACGCCATTAGTAACCGACAAAGATCACTATTCCGAGTCTTTCTACACAGAAGCAGCAAGAAAAAAAAAAAACACCAAGGCAGACGATGATGCGGAGAGCAGTATTTATGTTTAAGGTTTAAAAAAAGATCACTGCAGCACTACCATCCATGTTTACTTCCGTAAACACAGAGCATGCTGGCTTGTGATGTCATTGCATCCTCTACTGAGCATGCGAAACACTTCAGCTGTATGAATGCAGTTCATACAGGAGATCACATACACGTCGCATATATTTGGAAATGTGAACGGCAACACAAAAAAATCGGAATTGAGCATCAATGCCTGCAGTGTGAACGTAGCCTTTGTGGCTCTTCTTACCGTGGCTCTGGCTCCAAGGCTGGTGTTCCTCAGACTCTCCAGCTCCTCAGTCATCTTAGTGGCCAGAGCCTGCAGGTAGCCTCGAGCGTCTTTCTCATCGCTCACCCTGCAGCACACATCAATGCTCATTTAAGAACAAATGGTTGTTTTAAACACATTTACCTCTCAAAGCCGGTGTTAATTCATTAACGTTCACTCAATAAATGTCGATTAGGGACAAGAAATAAAATGAAAACAATATAAATTAACCAGCTAATGTCATAAACATTACACTTTCTCTGTGATTTGATTAATTTAAACATTTTTTGGGACAAACATTCTCCTGCTGTGTTACACCTCCACCACCAGAGGGCGACACAGGCTTCCAAACTCCTCCAGAAGTGATTTCCCAGCTTTACATTTGTATGTGCATGTTTGGAATGTGTTGTGGCTGTGAACCAGAGCGTGTGCCTGTGGAGGGTATGTTTGCTATGCGAGGACTTCGGGCCCGTCCACCAGAGGAGCAGTTGGCGAGGCGTCAGCTGAGAGGATCTGAGAGGAAGGGAGGGTCAAGCATCTCCACCATCTGCAGAGGTATGCCAGACATGCTGCAGCTTTCCAGTGAAGGGCAACCCAATACCCTGCTACACAGACGGTGTGAAACTATCGCCGTAGCATGAGAGGAGAAGCGCAGGCCCTCGGGGCTGTACTTTGGGACACGTGAGAAGGCGGCTGAGGGCGTGCGGCGTCTCTTACCACTGGATGATCTCAGTGATCTGGGCCTCCCAGTGGGCCACGCTCTCCTTTTTATCAGCCAGCTCCCTCATCTCCTCCTCCAGCTTCTGGTTGGAGCTGCTCATGTTCTCGAACATACTGGTCAACTGAGCACAGGAAAAAAAAATAAATAAAGAAATAAAACACATAGATTAGAAAGACATGGAGTCTTTGAACCGATGCTCCGCCTCCACCAGGTTGACCTCCTCATTCCATGTGTCCAGACTAAACTCCTCCGTTTACACACCAACACCAAAGACAAGCATGCTGTTTTGATTCCTTTTAGAGATAGGGGTGTGTGTGTGTATGTTTGTCTAGATGTTGCCATGGCGACGTCATGCAGGTCTCAAACTGCCTGACTGTCAGTTCAAACCCCTTTCCCTCCGAGGACACGTTCCTGGTCTCTTTAACTCAGACCAATTTCCTGTTGTTTTGGGTTTGTTTTCTAAATCTAATATCTTTTTATTTTTTTTAATCAAACACAGGAATGTCACAGCTGTGAAAACAAGCTTTATACGAAATACAGCAAACCAATCTTTGTGGAGCTCCGTAACGTTCTGGTTAGCGCGTGTCGCTGGGAATCGAGACGCACTGAGGTTATTATAATTACTGCTTTTAGAGCTGCTGTAAGGTGACGAAATAAATGACCGCTTAAAAAACTCCTACGAGTCATTATAGAGGCGTAACTTTACTAGATAGAAAACATTTAGGGAGGTAGAAAACAGATGTTTGTTTGAAATGGTGCCTTGAACCTCTGGATTTGAGAAAACATTAAACCTTCATTAAAAATCATAGACTTTAATTCACAGGTTAAAAAACTGATTTTATAGGAGTTAGATGAATTATTTATCTCAAGAGGAAGTTTTTTTTCAATATCTTATAAGCGTGAACAGGTTCAAACAGCAACCGAAACAAATATAGAATAGAAGATTTTTGCAGATTTTAGAAATTACGTGAAAGTCGATGCAGTTAGTTTCTTTTACGGGTATTAAACTTTTATTGGTAGAAAATAACTAAAAGGGAGAAAATGCTGTTTTTTAGCACAGAAAAAAAAACTGAGACAGATTAGCAAGAAGTCTTTCATAGCCAGACATTTAATTCCGCATCCTAAGCAGCTTTATTCAAAGGGCTGAAAGCGTAGAAGTAGAGTAAAAGTTTTTTTCCCTAGAGGAACATACAGGAAGCGTTACATTCTGAGACACAGGAGCCATCCTTCATCTGTACCCACAGAAGAGAGAATCTGTTTGACCTCAGCCTTATCTACAGATCAGCAATGTTAAGTCCTACCGACCCGCTGATGCATGGAGCTACAGCTGTAGATTAAAGGTCCAATATCAGAGCATCAGACTGCAGACTGGTTGCTCTAATTAACATAAACGGGGTAATTATGACAGTTTAGGGTTTATTTATAGACTTAGCACTAAAAATAAAGAGAAAAGTCACAACGACCTGAAGAATTATCAGCCTGGAGGGTTTCTGTTTCCTCTTCAGGAAACAAACATTAAACATCTTAGCGTACCGATGCACATAACGATGTGACTGCATCTCAGATTTGATTAAAGCTAGTGGAGCTGTTCAGCCAATCAAAGCCTTGGGTTATCAGAAACACTTCCTGTTTGACATCTGATCAACCTCAAGTTCATAGAAGATGTAAAAAAAAATGCTGCTTCTATTAGCGTTAGCCGAGTGGAATGTTTAGCATGTAGGCAGATCTAGTTAAAAAAGACGACCCCCCCTCCTGACTTCTTTCTGACTCTGTTTGATCGCTTACAGACTTTAAAAACACGCTCAGATTTTATTCCACAGGTCAGAGATCCTCCCTCTTATAAGAAAGCGTTTAAAAAGTGAACTTCCAGGAACCGATTCCAAAGTCAACACGGCTAAATCCAGCGTCACTCTATCCGACCGTGCAGGAGGGGAGAGTCTGTACAGTGATTTTTCTTTGGCACGGCAGGGGGAGGGGGGAGGAATGTGATGAGTCGTCCAAACGGGGTTACCTGGGGTTGCAGTTCTGAGTTAAAGGGTTAAACAGATCTTAAAAAGGAAGGCTGAGCATGCGACAGCAAGTAAACCAGTTAGAGCTCTGACTCCTGTCAGACACAGAAACACATACTGTACCTTGTCTAATTCAGTGGACAGCTTCTTATTCTCCTCAGTGAGCAGGACTCTTTCACGCTCATACTTCTGCTTGTACTCCGTCTCAAACTCTTCACGCTCGTTTTGGCTGCAGGAAAACACACACAGTGTTAATGTCTGCAGAAACCTAACCACCATCTGCTAGCCAAACCCCTGACCCCCCGCCCCCCCCCCCCCCTGGCTGAAGATATTCTTCAAGTCTGCTTTACAAATATACAGCTGGGTGTTTCAGTTTCAGCTCCGATCTCCTGTAAACTGGAATTTCCTTTGTTCCTCGGCGCCCTCGGCCTCAAATGTCCCTTCAACAGCTGAATCAAAGACTCACAACTAAGACGGGACGCTTATCTCTAAGCCCGACACATGAATGCAGTCCTGAGCTGATCCTGCAGAGTGTTTAAAAAGGAATTAAACAGCAGTGGAAATCATACATCAGTAACTCTGGGCAGGAAGGTAGAGCTGCAGGGAGGAAACACTGACTTCTACAGCTTCCAGCATTAAATTAAGACAAAATACTACTACTGTAATCAAGTCATTTTTGGTGGTTAAACATAATGGTAAAAATGTTTATATACGGTTAAAACAATCTAAATTATTGGTTTATTCTGATCCTGCCGTTTAGATAAGTGCGGCATGTGTAAAGGTGGGTGGGAGGGAGTACACAAACATCAGGGATACTGTAAAAACACAATTGTTCTGTACAAGCAGGGCTCAGACACATCTGATAAAAAAATAGACAATTATATGTCCAAAATAAATAAATCAATGTCCAATATTCAGGTTTAAGGGTTTCCGCGGGTCAATTAAAATCATTAAAAGTCATTAAACTATAAATTTTTTAAATTAAGGCCATAATTGGCATTACAATTCATTAAATGCGATTATACTGGCATTTAAAATGCTTTATAAAAAATAAAAAAAATTTGTCAGATATATTATATCGCAATATATTTGTGCGGAACTGCTTCGGTTTGATCCTAAAGCCGTATGTTCGGAAAAATGATCAAGATGGAGAAAAAGCTACAGAATGGAAAAATGCAAATTTTAAAAAATGTGTATGGAAAACAAGGAATTCAGGACATGGCTACTGCAGCCTGTCGACAGTAAATATGACAAAGAGTCGTGGGTACTTGATGACGGCAATAAAATTATTTCTAAGAGCATCAAAAAGCAGTAAATTAGAGTTATTCCTGTAAAAACCCTGGATTTAGATTAGAGGACAGCTCTTTAAAGTGGAGGTTACAACCCCCTAGTGGGTTGCAGAGGTACTGCTATATAAATAATATAATTCCTGGTGAAGATTCTCAGTCATCCAGGTCGTAATCATTCCAAAAAAGTTAAATAACAATCCACTGAACCTTTTTTCCAAGTTTGAAGATGTGTCGCTTCCCATCCAGGAAGTTGTTTCAGTTCAAAATGTCAGAAATAGTGTTGCGTTCTAATCCAAAACAAGGCCATGCTTTGGTCCGCTCTATAAAGCCTTGAACTCTACGATATTTCTGACATTTTGAATTAAAAAAGCTTCCTAGGAGGGAAGCGAAACGTCTTCAAACTTGGAAACAAAGTCCAGTGGATTGTTTTTTAACTTTTTTGGAATAATATAACTGAAATGTATTGATCCCACATTGGAGAAATGTACCTCTGCATTTAACCCATCCCCTTGGGGAGCAGTGTGGTCTTGCTCAGGGAACCAGAGTGGCAGTCTGTAGGAGTGGGGCTCAATCTCTAGTGTTCCCGTAACCACTAGGCTGCCACTCCCCCAATAAATATAACCATAGTAACACCTGAAATATACTTTCACACAGGTATCAAATGTTTGCATTAATACCTGACAACTGCAGTTCTTCTACATTTGTTTTATTTTAGGCAGAAATAGTAGTAGGTGGGCCATGCCTTCGGCATGTGGCCCCCCAATTAGATTTAAAACACTCCAAGTTTAACAGGTTAAATCATTGCTGTCAGCCCATTAAAGACCCCTGATTACTGTAGGTAGATCATGTTAGAAATGTTGGTTAAATACCATGTGGGCCCCTGAGTATCTGCTTTAAGCAGGCTGATAGGAAGCCATCTTTCTGATGTTTTTGTTTGAAATTGAAGCTGAAACATTTTATTGAGCCTTTTTTAACAAAAGGAGGAGGAAACTAGGCTACGCTACAGGGCGCTAACAGAGACACATCACAGCTAATTATCCAGATACGATGGATATAACTGTAATTACCTCACAGTGACACCACTGCAAAAACAGAAAGAACCAGTTTGGATCAGGTCAGAGTAACGATTTAAGCTGCAGGTAACGAGTAGAGAGAGAAGAATGCGAACCTTTCCCGCCGGATCTTGTCTAGTTTGTCTTTCAGCATCAGGACCTCCTTCTGCAGGTTGAGCTGTTGACTTTCGGCGTCTCTCAGCTCTTTGCGGAGCGCCTTCAGCTCGTTGCTATGCTGCGCCTCTCGACGCGCCAGCTCCTCCTCAAACAGCAGCGTTTTCTTCTCCATCTCCGCTCGCAGCCGCCCCACCTCCTGGGACTGGTCGGCCGATGTGGTGGCAGCGGGAGAGCCCACCTGCTTCACCTGAACAGACGCCATCATTAGTAGGAAGAACTCGGTCAGAAACGGGAGCAGCGACGGTCCTGCTCCGCCTCCTCACCTTAAGGCCTTCCAGTTCCTCCTCCAGCTGACGGCTGTACTGCTCGTTGCGCTCTCTGAGCTTCTTCTCTTTCTGAGCCTCACAAGTCTGCTCCTCAACCTGAACCTCCATCTGATGGTGATTGGAGAACGACATTCATCAGATGCGAACTTAGGAGGTCCTTCATTGCTGAAGAGGACCTTTAAAAACTCCTATCAGGTTTTCTTTATATTTAAACCTCCAATTTGGCTCAGTTTTAGAGTAGAACTGCAAAGGTTAACTACTGAGCATAAAGTCGGATGGTTTCCCTGATTTTTCAAGTCCAAGAAAATACTTTAATCTAATTCCAGCCTCCTCTGGTGAGAGTAGAAACCCTGATAGAAAAATAAATGTGCTTATTTGATTTGTTGAATCTAATGTGGCACTAAACTAAGGATGCTAATGGATCAGGACATTAACAAGTAACAGAAAGTCGTCTACCCCATCGTTGAAGTGTGAACCAAGCGGCCCATGCAGACAGATAAGGGTTCTGCTACCAACCACAGGGAAGCTACTCTACCTCCTTCTTGGCCCTCTCAGCCTTTCGCACCTCAAGGCGGAGAGCCTCCACCTTCTGGTTCTGGCTCTCCATCTCCTCCTCCTTGTCACGCAGCTGTCGAATGAGGCGCTGCTTTGCAGACCTGAGAGGAAAGTCAAACCGGAAAACCATTTAAAGGCTGCAGAGGTCTCACTCCTACTTTATTTCAACCGAGAACAACCAGCTCAGCAGCAGGGATGGATAAGAAGCGTTTAGGATCCCACCTGAACTCTGTCAGCTTCTCGTTGAGCTCGGAGAACTCCTGCATGGCCAGCTTTCTCTGGCTGTGGGCGTCCTTCAGCTCTTTAGACTGAGACTTCAGCTTCTCACTGGCCTCCAGAAGGCCCTGTTCACAGCAGAGAGAGACCCAAGACTCACCTTACCAGTCATCAAGACTGACCTGCTTACTTTTAGACCATAGATGAATAGAAAACTGACAGATATTCTTAAAGCCCCAGCATTAGCAGCAGCAGGGTGTCTTTACCTTCTGCAAGTCATCCCTCTCCTGTGTGAGGCTTTTCATCTGCTTCTCCAGACTCTTGACATGTTTTGACGAGTCCTCCAAGTCCCGCCGCGCCGACGCCACGTCCTCCAGCTGCTTCTCCAGTTGGCCCGAGTCTGACGACAAGATACGTATTTCAGAGAAAACCTCCGATTATGTAAATTAATTGGTTTTAGGGTGTTTCTTTTTATTCAGGACAAACCGGCGATCTGCTTCTTCAGGATGTCGATTTCACTCCTGAGACTCCTGATCTCCACCTCCTTGTTGGAGCTGACTGGTCCCTCTCCTGTCGCGTGCTGCAGAGCCTGAACAGCCTGAGTCGACTCTGTAACAGGTGAAAACGTTTGTTTTGTAGAAGGTCTTTTTGGAGCAGAAAGGTTTTAATAATATGGTTTAATAAGGAAACATCTGCACAGACTCACCTTGCAGTTTGCGACTCAGCTCTAGTTTTTCCTGCTCCAAGCGACGTATCCTCCTCTCGTACGCCTCGGTGGCCAGGCTGTCCTCCAGCCGGCGTTGGACATCCAGGTCCAACTGGTCCTGGCCTGCTTTACCAGGCTCTCCTGCCAGCTGTCGGAGGCAACCCCGGTCTGATAGGGAACTACGAGGGAGTAAACGGCAGCAGTTAGATGGAAAAAAAGGACCAAATCCAAATGTAAATGACGTTTGGTAATAATGGCGGCTTTAACTGCAACCACATATGGAGGATAGCAAATGTAGGAAGGCAAAGAAGGGGAGAACATCCTGAAAATGGACGAGGAAAGAATGTAGGGAGACAGTTGATTTCTCACATGGTGTAAGGAGATACAGCTTGTTAAAAACATCACCTAATGAGGTGGGTAGGTCATTAATTACAACTGCAAAGCTTTAAAGAAAGTGATGAAAATCACAGAAAGAAAGCACAGACAGGAAACGCTTCAAAAAGAGTCTACAGAAAGAACCAGTGTCTTATTCTAACCTATGGGAAAAACACCTCCATCCTTTTCCAGCCAATTAGACGCCATGGCATTCACAGGAGTTCCTTTAACTCACCTTTTACTTGTATAGGTGAAACCCACAAACGGCAGGTGGTGTCCAGAGAAGGCAGTGTGAGAGGGAGGAGGCATCGTCTCCTGAGAGAAGGGAAACCCACAGAGAAATAAGTCACATTTGACAGGAAAATAATCTGAAAAACTGCTTGTTTTCTAAAGAGGAACCCATACCGAGTTCTTTAGACAGTCATCATCCACATCAAAGTTAGAGGTATCTGTAGGACTGCTGACTTCTGGGTTGTAGGGGGCCTCACAGGTACGAATGTTGTCCCAGTCGATGCCTGAAGGCAGGAAGAACACAAGTTGGTTCTGAGTTCTGGCAATAAAACAATATTTGAGTAAAGTAGTGGAGTTTAAATGTGAGGGTCGGTGCGCACCAGTGAAAAACGGGTGCTGTTTGAAGTCCTCGATGCCATTCTGACCCAGCCTGTGCTCCCGACTGCAAATGAGCCGGCGAATCAGATCTTTAGCATCTTCTGACACGTCTGTAATCTGCTGTGGGAACTGGAAGCGCTCCTGCTGAAAGGAAATCACATCAGACAGCTGAGAGGGAGGGAAAAACAAACACAAACAACCGCTGCATCAGATGGACGCCGTCGGCTCACCTTGTGGTTCATGATTTTCCCGTAGGTTTCCACCAGGGATTCTGCATAGAAAGGGGTCTCCCCGTACAGCATTTCATACATGCAGACGCCCAGGGACCACCAGTCGCACTCGGGGCCGTACTTGCCTTTGCCGTCCTCCATGGCCTGGAGGATCTCTGGGGAAATGTAATCTGGAGTTCCCACTGCCACTGAGGACTGGACCTAGTGGAACACAAACAGCAATCAGCATCCGACACATCAGAGCGTGTAAACATGCTGCCAAGCAAGCGTTACGGCGAGGGATGATAAGGTTACAGTTAAAGACGGGAAAATCTCAGGCTACAGAGTTAAAATGACATCTATTGCCCAAATATTTTGTTTTCTCATTTCCTGATGCAGATTCATGGTTGATCCTGAGTTATAGACGGCGTTATGGATAAAAAAAAAAGACACGCAGAGCTCTGCAGGAGATAGTGAGGGGAGGTGAGGGCGCTACTCCCCCTTACAGAAACACTGCAGGCATGGGGCTGCAGAAACAAACTTTAGGATCATCATTGTGTTTAAATCCAGCAATATTTTGCTCATTTCACAACCGCATTAAGGCTTAAACTAATCGTAATTAACCTGATTATTGAAAGAATCATCAAGTAAATTAGTAATTAGTTAAACTGTAAAGAGTTTAGTTTCACCTGTTTAATTCTGTAAATTATTTTTCAAGGAAACTTTGCTATCCAATTCTTAATCAAGAAAATAATTGACAAAATAATGAATTATCAAAAAGGTTGTTAGTTGTAACTTAACTGCATGCCTCCATCTTTCTCTAAGAAAATACTCTAATTAGCAGCATTGACCCTTATTCAAAGTACAGAGGGACGTATACATGCATGAGGCTCTTATTGTGAAGGTTTCCTCTCAGTTTGACCATCCAAACACGTAAAGCTTAATGAATTTAGCGAATAAAACTGGATTTTTAAAAATTGTTTTATTCTAACCAGCGCAAACAGCAGCTACTTTAGTCAGAAAGTTTGATGCTGCTACAGGAGGAACCCAGAGCGTCTGCATGCTGGAAGGCAGAGCTTCTGAAACGTTTCAGCTTCTGACACACAAAATAATAACAGCATCAACTCAAGACCCAAACTATTGATTGAGCAAATAAACATAAAAGGTTAATCAACTATGGGTATCAATATTACAAACAGCATCCACCACCAAAGTAGTCTATTTTGTCAATTTTAAGTAATTATTTAACCATTTCAACATAAATGTGTTTGTCTAGTTTAATTTCTGTATTACATCCCAAGACCCCATTATGGTTAATCGAGGACCCCAAGTGGGGTATCAGTGCTGAAATAGAGTAAGAAAGCTCATGTTTATAAAGACAAATTGGAAAATGCAACGGCAAGGAAAACTTAAATAAAGTCAACAGTTTTGTATTTAACTGGACCTCATCTATGTGTCACGGATCAGTTTTAAAGACACTTTTTGGTGAGATCAGAGCTAATTTGGGTCAATTGATTATGAATATGAAAACAAATTAGTCAGATGTGGGGTACTTCTGTATTATTCTACTGCTTTCATTCAATGGCCGTTTCTCAATTCACATGAAAGCGAGTACAGATTCACGTCCTCTCCAAGTGTGTTCTTAAGAAGAACACAGGAAAGTCTGGACTTGGTGAGAACGGGAGCACGCAGCATAAATATTGGTCAATCCAAACAGAAGCGTACTTGTGACGTCACCACATCCCCGACTCATCTAGAGCTGCATTTCACCTCCTGTTATTAATAGTCTCTGGGTAATAATAAATTATGACTTTTTTCATTTAATGGGGGAATAATAATCAACAGAGTCAGATAAACACAAATCAAATGAATATTTTTCCAGATAAAACAAAAATCGCCATCAGAGCCAGCAGTACTTCGAACACGACTATGCTGAGAGAGGGCTGCTGCAGACCAGCTGTGGTTAGCCTTGGCTGCCGTTAGCCTCGGAGCTCCACTGGTTGCCGCGGTCCTCTCAAATTCTGAATTTTTTTTTTTTTTTTTATTATGCATTAAATCAGTAAATGGACCATATATTGCCACTTTAAAGTATAATATTCCTGCCTCAAATTATCTTAAAACGTACTTTTATTGAACAACAGCAACAGAAAAGAGAACCATTAATTTTCAATGGATCGCTCCATTAAAAGCTGCTGCTGCTGCAGTGCATGCTGGGACAGCTGTCAATCTCAAGAACAGACAATTCTGCTCTGATGCATGCTGGGTAAATAGGGAGGGGCGAGAACAACATCCGGGGACTTGGTCTGTTCTCTGTCTGCTGTTCTTGTGAATTGCAACAGTACTAGGTCTGAGGTTGATGACGTTTCACCAGGACACGAGCACCCGCGAACGCACAAGTACACATATAGAGAAACGGCCAAAGTCTCCAGACATTTAAATCTGATCTAACTTTGACGTAACTTTGTTGTGTCTCAGCTATTTGATTTATGTTGTTTTGGATATTTTATGTGATCATTCGTTTAAAGTGCCAGGACTATCACACATTCATTTCAATCAATTCATAAGAAACATTTTAATTGCATTTAAAAAATTAACCCAATTAATTGCATTTTCTTTTTAAACACACTATAATCTCAAGCAGGAAGTTTCATACTCGTCGTTTCTTTTACAGCTGTTAATCTGACTCACAAGCAGCATCATAAGAAAGCCTAAAATCGGTGTAAGCTACGGTGGAAGTGTCTGCAGTAATAAATGCTAACAGTGCTGGACGTTAGGAAGGAGCCAGGATCAGGAACATGGATTATTGCTTTAGGAATTAGCTTAAGGAGAAGCAGTAGCCTCAGTAGTTTTCACTGCACATTGATTAGCCTTGTTGCTATTTATTTTTTGAACTTTAATCAGTGGAAGGAATTGTTCTTAAATTAATGTTAATGTCTTGTTTACACTTCTAAAGAAATTGCATAAAATAAAAAAAAATTGCATAAAATATATGGATGAGAAAAGGTAAAATTATATCTTTCAAACAGCCTGATGGCTTAATAACCTAAATAGTTGGACTAAAAAGAATAAATATATGTGCTGTTGTGCTCATATAATTGATTATTAATGGAGGGGGAGGTTTATTATGTCGATATATGACCCTGTAATTAACTCAATTTAAAAAATGTAATTGCATCCCACCGCTATTAAATCTTTCCCTGTCATTTAGTAAAGAATAACATTTAAATAACTTAGTCTCTGATTGATTTTGCAGATTGTGTATTTAAAATCTTCCTTCTATTAGTGACGTGGATTCCTTGTGTTGATGGAATCCTACTGTCACACTTGGAGCAGGCAGCTTTATAATTAGCAATTTCCCCTCTCTGATCTCTCATTCCATCCTGTCATTTTTCTTCCTGTAGGATCAGGGGAAATGTCTGAATTGCAACCTGCAGGCTAGGCCAAGCAGAACCACCGCAATCCTCGCCGGAGACCCCCAGGGGTAGGCAGAGAGGTTAGCAAAACTCTGCTAATGTTTGCTTTGGACCAGGAGGAACAACAGCAGCAGCATCAGCAGCGGAGGTGATGTGGTCAGAACTTACCGTCCCATCCTCCATGAGTTTAAGGCAGGAGCCAAAGTCAGCCAGGCGGATGTGGCCGTTCATATCCAGCAGAATGTTGTCAGGCTTAATGTCCCTGAAAAGAAAAGAGAGGGAAAAAAAGAAAAGTCAAAATGAGTGAGTGGTTCCTGAAAGTGATGAGGAAAAACGCACACCTTCCAATCAAAACACCTTTCAGGACATCCAAAACACACACAGTCCTCATCTCATATTCCTGGGAGCTCTGATGGCTTCTCATCAAACCAGGCTTTATAAAAGCAGGAATCCGAGCAGGCCTGATTAGCCCCTAAAGTCTGTGGATAATAATTCAGCAACATTTGTTATTGAATTAAGCGTAATTTCCAGCAGCTCATTTATCAGCAGTGGGGGCGCTTTAAATTGACCACAAGAAAGAATAAACAGCACTAAATAGTTGAGTTTGTGATTCAGGGAATTCGATTTAATCCCAGAGTGAGTTTAGGACACAGATACGCTGGAGGAGGAAAACAAGCAGCACACAAACACACTTCCTGGTTCCTCTTCTCCTTCTGCACTTATTGGGCAGAGAAAACAGGGTGGAGGCAACACTTTGAGAGTTTTCCTCTCCTCTGCATCTGTTCTGCATTATTACTGCTGATGGGGTGTTTATATTCACATACATACTGCGGTTTGATTCCAGTCAGCAGAAAACAATTCCTTTTTTTTCTCCCTTTACCTCCTAAATAGCAAAGCTTTCTTCCCCCCCAATCAAACAGCATCTTTCACCTCTTGCTCTGTGTTTACCTTTTCACACTCAAACCCCGACCCAGGGACCAACATTTATTTTCCCTCTGATCAAAGTAATTTAATTTCCTGATTGGTTATAAGATATGATCTCCTGGAAAGCAGCAACTTTGCTGCACAGCAGGCGTTTCATCCTGCAGATTGTGGGAATGTTAGGGTATCTTTGGTTCATCGCAGTTTGTTTGAAATTTGTTTTTAGCTTTTGCTCTAAAGGTGGATGTGAACCAGTTTAAACAAGTAGCCCTTTTTTGTGATCCACATGCATGCTCTGCTATAATTTCCCGTTATAGCACAGTTCTCTGGTCTTTCTTGTTTGAAGAATAGAAAATAAATAAAATGGGCATCTGTGTAAAGTTATATATAATACAGGAAGTATCAACTTATTTAGCTAAGGCTTTTAGAGCAAAGCTCTGCCCCATCTTAACCAGCCAATCAGTTTACTTCATCAAGTGTTTCCATCCAACGATCGAAGCATGCTTGCTTTAAATAATCATAAAGCTTAAAACAAGAACGCACTCAACCATCACTGTTCCAGCTCATAGATAAACATGAAAACAGCTTAAAAATAATAATGATTGTATAAGAAAAGGGACCTTTGATTGGCTTTACGACGACCATAAGCTCCGAGGAGTTTATACTCCATCAGCTTCAGTCAAGTAGCCAATCAGGAATCAGAACCACGATTAAAGGAAATGGGGCGTAATATAAAAAAAAAAAAAACTGAATAACACAATTAAAATTGAGATATTTTAAAGCTACATGATTAAAATATCAGGCAAAGCGTTATAATTTAGGGGGTGATTTAAAGTTTCTTGGTGGAAATAAAAGCAGAATGAATTCATGGCTTGTCCGCCGCTGAATGAAAAGTTTGGTTCCAGTATTTATCCATTTACTCCACTGGCTGAGTCCAGTAAGCCAAGAAACTAGGACTAAAGCAGCCAACAAAATGCTTCTAATGCTGAAATGACTACATCCGTAACACACTGAGCACCCTACCTAAAATGTTATGATAATTTACCTTCCTATTCACCTGAAAACAAAAATAACAATAAACTAACTGGCTGTATGGGTTTGATTTACATCATTTATAGTACAGGAAGTGGAAATATCTCCATAGTTATGCTGCTATAGGCTTAGGCTTCTGGAGGACATAAGGACCCCTATTTCATCATTTTGCCTCATTCTATCTCTATTCTCCCACTCTACAGAATCTGTTCAATCTAACATTATGCTCTCTCTGCTTTTTTCTCATAGTAACTTCGCCTCATTTCTGTTTGGCTGTGACACCACACCATCAACACCTTTGTTTATAGCTGTTGGAGATTGGCCTGTTTTTCCAGTGTAGTCCTGTTTCTCTGACTGTGACTGGCTGGATGTGCTCTCTTCATCCTCTGACATGGGAGCTGGCTCGGAGCTTGTCTGCCTGGCTGTAAGTTTCCTGCCTTTTACAGTTGCTTTTTGTATCTCTGCTTCTGTCTCCTTGAACCCCAGTCGGCCTCAGCAGATGGCCGCTCACACTGAGCTTGGTTCTGCTGGATGTTTCTTCCTGTTAAAAGGGAGTTTTTCCTCTCCACTATCGTTACAAGCATGCTAAGTGAGGGACTGCATACGAGTCAATTATTTGATGCAAGCAACTGGTTTTCCTTAGATGGAAAACTTTGAATCAATATGATTGGATGATCTGGTGAACTGTAAAGTGCCTTATGATGACATGTGTTGTGAACTGGCGCTATATAAATAAACTGAATTGAATTGAAATAGACCAATACACATTTATATCTTTTTAAAGGCGATACCAATTATTTTGACATCAGTCCATTCTTGCATGTTTCTGCTGACGCAGATAAAAGAAGAAATGCTAACATAGGCCCAATACACAAACAAAGTAAAGGTCCATCTGTAGAAGGACGACCCAGAGATGCAAAGTACATAAAAACAATAAAAACAGATCAGAAATGGACATCTCTAGAGAGCATTTGCAAGCACATTAAAAAAGTTCCTGGTGGTGCCAAAAGAGACAAGTCGGTTATTTATATTTGTTTTATGAAATTCTTCAGCCAACGGTTCATTATTTTAGATGTTGCTCAAAGAAGCTGCGTCTAATAAAAGCAACCCTCCCACTCTTCCCAACTAGAACATCATTTCATAACAAGTGATTCAATTACAGTGAATGTTGTTCTCAGCTACCAAGCATCAGGAAGTAAACAGCTACAGCTCATCAGACGCCCTCGTCTTTGTTTCATCTCCCTAGATGTGTCAGCAGTCAGAGTTTTGGGAGGATTTTCCATCTTTTAGGAGCGACAGACTTTAAAACCTGCTTTGATGCATCAGTCTTCAACCAGAGGTCTCTTCAAAGCCACATTAAGCCCCAAATGCTCTGGTTCTGTGGGTCACAAGCAGCTGGATGGTCTCTCTCCTCTCAGAGGCAACAATAAAACCTCCACCTCTAAAACTACAGGTTAGACTAATACACGAGACAAGAATTACATAAGCCAACACTTTCCCCTGCAATCAAAGCAGTATTTGCATTACATGCAGCTAAAAAGCTTTCAGGAACGAGGCAGACTGCTCAGATGTGGTCCAGATAGGACGTCACTCTTCATAGTAGACATTCGATTCGTAATGAAAGCCACAAACTACAGCAGAGAACGTCCAAGTCTGGAGCAATCAAAACTTGGCAGATGGAAAAAAAAAAAAAACGTCTTTTTTTCACCCTTTTATGGGAAACCATAGAATATCTTCCTAAGGTAGAAAATATGAGTCTCTACATCTCTAAAGGACATTTCTATCATCAATCCTTCGCAGCTGCTGTTGCTTAGTTTCACAACAGCAATCTGAATGTTATGAACCACATTTCTTTACTGCTCCTTTACCATTTAGTTACTTAAAAAATCATTTTTCTCATCTGACAGGCAAGAAACTTTGCACAAGCTTGACATGACCTGAAACCTGAGCCGGCCTACCGACACGCGGATCTATGGTGTCTATGTGCAGCCTGGCTGTTGGAGAGTCCTAATCTGTCCTGCCAAAGAGCAGACAGCATGAGTTGACCTCCACCTTTACTGATGAACCACTTGATATTTAGGGAAGCTGCCATTAGCCTCATATAAGGAAAACTACACTCTGTTTCTCTGCTTAAGATTTACTTCAAACTGAGGCAATAACCTATCGATGGAGCCGGAAACAGACGGAGGTTTAAAGAATAATCCCTCCCTTTATATTTCCCCTTCCTCTGGTGACTCAAACAGAATAGACGGTGACTGCGGGCTAGGTGAGTTAGCACAGTAACTAGGCTACTGTGTCACAGGGATCCAGGAGTCTTAAGGAGCGTTGCAGGGACGGGAATAGAGGACGGTAATCTCTTTTAAGACTGCAGCATCCATCTGCGAGGACCATCTGGATGCCGTCTCACACACGCACACACACTAGCACTGTGCACACCACAGCTACTGGTGGAACTGTGAAGACAGGACATGTGAGCGTGGCTCTGGCTGATTTGTGAAGAACAAGGAGAAGCTGATGTGTCTGCATGATGTTTGCACTGACTCTCAGAACCAGTTCTCGATTTTTTTTTTTTTTTTTATGTAATAAAAATGCAGTTTTCATTCCTTTTTAAATTGGTTGCTGGAGCAGCGCTAACCTGCTGCTGCACACTGCTTGCCAGCTGGCTTAAAAAAAGGCCACTTATTAGGAAAATGTGTTTGTGGCCAGTCCATTACTAAACGGTAGAGTAATGACATTTACTCTAATATGAAAATAGAAGCAAAAACAAAATATGATGTGAAGTTTACTAGAAAAACAGATGTTCTTCACTTTGAAAGTGGCAGCTTGAGTTTTAAAAACTTTCATTCAGTTTATGTAAATGCATTAATCAGGGAGAGTCATTTCTTTACCTTCTTATTACAAAAGCATTAAAATATTCAAATTATTCACGCAACTTTACACCAGCAATCAGCCTGCATAGGGGCTTAAACCTAGCTGCCATGTAAAGTGACTTAATTAGACAGTTGGATATTTAACTAGAAATTGAGAGGTTTAAAATCTCTGCTTTTAGTGAAGCTCTGGACTGACTATACCCATTCTACCTGAGGTGTTATTAACAGCTACAATCACACACTAAAGATGTTCTTCGTGCCTTTACTGGTTCTTAAATTAGCATAAAACATCCTGCTGTGTGTTTACGTGTGTGTGAGAGAGAAAAACCTCCATTAAGAGGATTTATTGCTATTTTAAATTCAACACATAACAGAATTGGCTCTTTAGAAGCAGCCTTCAGCCTCCTATGTTAGCTGTTAGCATTAAAGCTGTTAGCAT